CCGCTGGAGCTCAGAACCTGTGTTGAATAATGTGGCCAATTCCCGTCACCGGAAAGTCTACAAAATCTAATTAGTATTCAAAGGATTTTAAGCTTCTGCTTGAGAAAGATCTTAGCTGTTGCTTAGGAGCTCTTTTATGTAAAGGAATCAGAGATCATTCAGATCTATGAAGCCAGGGAAAAAACCCCTTTGGCAATATGATTTTTTAAAAAACTGTCTCCTAGTCAAAATCATTAAAAAAAACAAACAAACAAACAAAAAAAAAACAACTCCAAAAGAACTGTTTTCAAATAGTTTTCTCATTTAATTTTTGAACTGCTACATTTCCCCTGAGAGGTCCTGCTAATTCCTTATTCAAGCCAAGTAGGGTGTCCCTGAATATAATTAATGTGTAGCCACAAGAGAAAGACCTGAGCTTATGTTCTTGAGCTGAGGAGTGTGTAGAGCTCAGATTCCTGTATTGGTTCCTCAAGCCAATTATCCCTTGGTGATAACTGACTGCCCCCAAATGGGCACAGTTTATGTTGTATTAGTAATAGCTACAACCATAGGTGCTTACTTTGGAGCGAATTAGAGCACTAGTTCTCAGCAGATGTGACTTTCTCTCCTAGGGCACGTGGAGCAGTCGTGACACATTCTTTTGTTGTTACAACTGAAGGAAAGCTACTTGCATCCAACAGGTAGAGGCCATGGATGACGCTGATGTCGCAGTGTGCACAGCAGGCCCCAGTCTCAACACCCGGACACAAACAATCATCTGGCTCAAAATGTTAAGACATCCTACTATGGAGGAACCTAGATATCTAACTCCTGAGTGCTGGAATCTTAATTATCGATTTTAGTTTGAGGTTACTGTAGGGTTATACACTGGGGTTTCACTGATACTAATTCACTGAATGCCCACAAGAGTGCTTACCTTCTTTTCCCTGCCTTTTGCAAGTGCTGTGGAGGCTTTATAAAATTAGAAAGCACGTGCACAATTATTCTTTTTGTAACTGATAGTTTTTTTCAGGCGCCCAGCACAGCATAGAAACAGGCAGAAGGAACAAGGGAAAGGGGCTTTATTATCTTGGAGGACAGGAGACAATTCAGGGAAGATGAGGAATTCTCTCAATTGGAACAAAGGGAGGCTGAGGCTTTTATGGCCTTTGGGGGGGGGGTAGTTTGAAGGGGATGTTTAGATATACCTGAGGGAGCTGATTAGGGGTCTTCCCTGAGGGAGCAGGAAGGGTGAAAGGAAAATTGTACCCTGGGCTGAGTTGGAGAAGGGGGAAGGTGGTCTTGGGGAAGATGAGCTTTTGTTTTAAGGGCTTCAGCCATATTAGATGACCACCATTATTTAGCAATTCAGACTAGGGCAGAACCTATTAGTAACATGTGCAGCTAGTTGAGAATTCAACCCAGCAGCTAGCCTTAGAATTCTTTCACATATAAAACTTGCCTAGCATATATAAATCAATACATAATCCCATCCTATAGCAGTAACAAGTACAGCTCCTTAAAGAAAAGGCCCCTTCTAGGAGGACATAATCCATTCCTGTTCAGAACTGCTCATTTTGTGGCCTCTTTTTTGTTGGGAGCTGGTGATGAGGGTGGGGGCAGTGTGCCACTGAGCAGACGCTCCTGAACAAATGGATGAGGGGTGGGATGGGCAGGGAGAGATGCAGCCCACCTCTAAGTAGTGTGTCTTCCTGTTTCAGCCCTATTATGTGAACTGGATTCATCAGAGCTCCTCGACCACTCACATTTGCAAGCCTGGAGTGATGCCCCAGCCAAGACAAGGGGTTCAGCTGCCATACCCATGGGACAAGCTTTCCATTTCTGCCCTCTGGCCACAGAGTTGGGTGATCCCCAGAAGCACATGATTCCTGTCCTAATCTCTCCCAGGTGTCCCTGTGGCCACACAGTCCTGGTCTTGCCCCAGCTTCCCTTCAAAACCCAGGTCAGAAGCATTGCAGATGGCAGTGTGAGCAGAAGGCCCATGTGAGGTGTGGTTCTCCTCCCTCGGGTCTTCTCCTCCCATTTTTCATCTCTTCTTCCCTCCTCTAGAGGCATCTAAAGGTAAAGAGATTGCTGCTTCACTTCTGAGTAGCAGTCCTATTTAAGTGCTCACTGAACATACCTAGATCCATAAATAGCAAAACCTAAAGTGGCCTGAAGATCATTCAGAACACTTTTTTTTTTGTTTGCTTGTTTTGCTTTTTTTTTTTAAAACATCAGTAGATGGAGGTCCAAAGAGGAGGGAAAGGGAGCCATCTTGATCTCAGTACTGGTAGAGTCAGAGATCTTGGGAGTCCCAGGTGTCTGGATTCCTGGTCTTTCCTAGTGATTTCCAAGTATTCCCGTGTGAAAGAGACAGGTGGTGGCAGTAAACTAAATCTTCTATCCAGAGAATAAGCCTTATAGACCTCGTCCTAGTTTTGTCTACATAGTATAGTACATCACATAGATAAGCGTGCCACTTCACCTGATCAACATCACAAAGCAGCATAAGTGAGAAATTGTAGTAGGTAGAAACCAAGCAGAATCTAGACCCAAAGCCTGGTGCTGTGTTTGCTGATAGCTTTTTCAAAAGGAAAGGAGACCAAGAGTTGGAAAAAACTGGGAGGAAGGATTTAAAAAAAAAAAAAGAATTAAGATGTTTTGTGTGCATGTACCAACTCCCCAGGATATATGTAAGCATTGTGTACTGCACATGGAATACTAAAAAAAAATTTAAAACATGGTTGCTATGATGATGCAGTCCTCCATGTCAGAGCAATTTTACAGCTGGGTGTGCTGGAGCACATTGGTAATCCAGGTACTCTGGAGACCAAGCAGGAGGATTGAAAATTTGAAGCCAGCCTGGAGAATTTAGTGAGATTCTGTCTCAAAATTAAAAACAATTAAAAGGATAAGGATATATTTCAGTGGCAGAACAACTTTCCTAGCACTGCTAAAGCCCTGGGTACAATATCTACTATCACAAAAAACAAAACCAAAAAATTTTAAAAAGGCATTATGCAAGCATATATTACTCAAGGAAGATATAACTAGATCTGGCTTTGTTTCATAACAAATGCATGAAATCATATTACAAATGTATAAATGAAATAATTTTTCTCTCAAAACCCCTTATATTGGTAGTCCCATGTCACCCTTACCTTTGTAGTACCAGAATTGGCAGAATGGGCCCCATAAATTTGAAAGACTTCTTCAATTGGGATACTGTTCTGTTAAACAACAATAATGTATTATTTTATCATGGCTTTTATTTTATTACAAAATAAAGCTAGTATAGCTGTAATATGTGTAATACTATCTGTGGTATTATAGGCATTAATAAATAACTTCATAATGAGATAAAGTATTGCTATGCAGTTCAGCCTGGCCTTGAACTCCCTTTGTAGCCTCAGCCTCCCAGGAGCTGGGATCATGGGCATTTGCCACCATGTCCTAGTAAATAACTAGATAAACCAGTTTTCCAGATACCAACTATTCATGTCCTTCATTTTCTCTCAATGTATTTTTGATACAGGACAGAACTCAGAATCTTTTTATTATGTCTTTAAAAATGAAGCATTTTTTGAAAAATCAAACATTTACTATTAGTAAATCCTAATCATTTAGAAACATTGAAAATTAACATACATAAGCATTGATATTAAATGCACACAACAGACATAAAATAACCATATATATCTATTTATATACGTATGTAGTATTCTTACCATTAAGATTCCAGCATAAGATGATAAAATCATTGCTTCCCGTTCTTTATAGTTTGGATATACAGGTCTGCTGTGAAGTGGCAATTTCCTAAGGCAAGTGTGAACAAATAAGAGTAGAAGATTTATTTCTATTCTTTCAAAAATTATTAACACATATCCATTGTAGCATCGAAGGGGCTCCACTTCGACATTTCTGTCGATGGACACACTAATCACGCTCATCCGCCCTCCTACCCTCTCTTCTTTTCTCCCCTGTCTGCCTCTCCCTCCCCTCTTCTACTTTCAGTTCTTGTTCCTTTCTACATCTACTAAGATCACTGTAATAATCCTAAGGAATCTGCAATGTCTGTGTGCTGGCCGCTTATTTTATAAAATTGATGTGACTGGCCTCCATCAGTGAAATCCACACTCTGAATTTTGAGTCCTCCAATAGTAGTGATGAATTTGCTCTTTATCCATGTCTTCACAGCTATCAGACAGGGTCCCCACTGTGGTGGGCTTACCCTCTCCCTACCTTGTGGCATTTTCTTAGGGGAATTGCCTTTCCCCACTTTAAGCCCATGCACATCTAGGGAAGCTGAGAACACTCTGAGTTCCAAGGATGGAAAACTCACTCTGGACTAAACTAGTTAATATGTCCATCCTTGATTAACCCAGAGGGTGTGGGAGGTAGAGGTAGATCCAGGTGACGCCAATTTTTAATGAAGCTTTGCCCAACACAGGCCTGTCTACAGGGCCCTTTTCCTTCCTTCCTTCCTTCCTTCCTTCCTTCCTTCCTTCCTTCCTTCCTTCCTTCCTTCCTTCTCCTTCTTCTTTCTCTCTTTCTTCTTCTTCCTTCTCCTCCTCTTCTTTGCTTAATTAAAGTTGTTCAATCTGGATTTTTCTGCTCTATTACAACTGAAACCTGACTGCTGCAGTCGTTTAGACCAGCTGTATAGTCTAGAGACCATGTGACAGAAAAATAAATAAATAACTGTCCTCTGGAGTACACCATTGCATCCCAGCCCCATTCATTCTGTGTTCTTATTTATTTATTATATTTCAGGGAAGGGTCTACAGGGTATTTAGGGTCTCACTACCAGATTGGACTCATAGTGATGATCTGCTTATTTACAGCCTTCCAAGAGCTGGGATTATAGGCTTGTGCCACCACACTCAGTCTTAAGTGCTGTCTCAGCATGCCCTTGTGGCGGGGGGCTGGCACCGCAGGCCCAGGGATTGAATCTCCAGCCCCTGCGCCTGATATATGTGCTTTAATCCACTGAGCTATTTGGCCAGCCCATTCCATGTTCTTGCCAGCAAGAGTCAGTGTGTCTCGATGCTATACATGGGACAGAATTCCAGTAATCCTGGAAAGGAAATTATCCCATGACTCAAACTCAGATACATATCTGTTTAAATTTCTGATAAACCTTAGGGAAAGGCTGCAGTCTTGGCCCACAGAGTCAACCATTTTAGAAGTCAGAGCATATACATAGTACAGTATAGCACAGTTGTGTTTCATTGGTAGAACATTTCACCTAATCAAAAGCAATCAGAAAAGTGGACAACTACATAAATGTACCTATAACTTCTTAATTGGGCAATGGCAGGGTTTCTTTCAGTTTCTAGTTGGAAGGGGATATAAGTTCTATCGTATTTTAAAGTCAGAATACCTCATGGTACAACTTGCTAGTTTAGGGAATTTCTAAATGAAATTTCTGGAATTTCTTCTATGATTAACCAGACTAATGCATTGAAAAGGAAAATAATGAACATATTTCAACTTACATGTCCTCCCACTCCAGCCAAGTTAAATCTGAGTGATCCAGCCACCGCAGGGCCATGCTGATGGCCAGGTCATAGTGTGCCTGGAGGCAGAAGGCATAAAGAGGGAAGGTGTGGGTTTACACAGGGGCCCAAGGGCTCCCTGGAGCTAGTCAGGATGTTGGCCAAGACTGTCCTACCCTGTCATTTCCAATGGGGAGGATCATTATCTATGTCTAATAACCTGATGCTCAAGTCACAAGTAGTTTGGGATCTTCAGGCATTAATTCATCTTCCACTAGAGCAGTTATGTGATTTTTATCATCCAGAAAGGAAAGGACAGATCAAGGGAAAGTATAGTCACTTGCGAATCAGGGAATTGGGGCTCAGTTCTAGGTACTGTGAACAGCTTGTGGTATGTCCTTGGGTGAATGATTTGTGTTCTCTGGGCCTCGATTTTTTAAAATTTGGAAATAGAAAATAGTGGCAGCAGGAAAGAGGACCAGAGAGAACAATGTCTAATCCTGCATGGTGTCAGGAATGTACCACTAGGGCACAAGCAAAGTGTTCAGGGAACCGGGAGGAACCATCATGTCTCTCTGGGAAGGGGAAGACAGTCCTGAGACTGTTAGGAGAGGTGGCTTCCTAGAGGGAGGCCGTGGGGATTGAGGAAAGCTGCAGGTGGGGCAGGGCATACCCAGCGAAGGGACTAGCATGAGCCAACGCCCGATTAAGTGACCCACAGAGAGTCCCACATACAGTTTAAAGCCGAGGGCCAATTGAATGTCCATTCCTACCCTTATGATGACTTTTGGTCATTTCTAAGTGCAGTGTTTCATAAGCCCATTTGCCATTTACCTAGCAAAATACATTCCTTCTTTCCTTCTCAAACTCATACCTTATATAAGGTTAATTTAGGTTTTTTTTAGATCAATTCTAAGGTTCTAACATTCTCTAAAGAACGTTATTTTTTTCTCAGCTTGAACCAAACTGAAATGTGACCCTACACAGATATATAAATACACAGGGAAAACTGGAGCATGCTCAGTTGCTGAAACATAATCCAGAGATTGAGACCTGGGCAGGCAGAGGTGGCACTACCTTGTTTGCTCATTAGGAATGCAGGTTCCCTGCCTCACCCCCGACCTTCTGAATCAAAACAGCCTTGTAATGAGACCTCATTAATCTTTAAGAAGCACAGCTTTCTGTGGGTTCATTTCTCTGTTTAATGTGTATACAAAGAGGCTAAGGCTTAGCTATGAATTTAACTCCAATGAGGGCTTAAGACTCAGCAAGTCACAAGGGAAGCATTTGGGGAAGCAGGAGGCAGAGAGAGGAGGGCCTTCTACCCCTTAGTTGCGCCAGGATGGTAAATACGCAGTAGAGGTTCTAAGGGCTTACTAATTTATTTCAGATTAGATGTTTTTGTGGGTTTTGTATCAGAGCTTAATATAAATCTAGGCTTGAACAGGAGTGACAAAGGATTTTAGGATAATCCAGTGCTTTGGGTTTCCTTCATTCATGCAAACAGTAAGGAAATGATTATATTTGAAGACAGCATGACAGCTAATCTTGCAAACATCATGAGCATAACATATTAGCTTGTATTCATTTACTTTTTAACCTTTCTTGCCTCATGGGACTCTTACTGTCTCATTTTCATTTTTCCTTCTGTTTATGGGTTGAAGTGACCCTATGGACAACCTCAAGATGAAAAAAATGAAGAAGAGCACAGTTTTAGGGGCTGTGTTTCAACAGTGCCCTGATTTCCTATTTGAATTTTATCCTTGTTCTTCCTCTTTAATATACATTGAACACAAACGTGAGTTGTTTCTTTACCATATCATCCAGAAAGGTGAGTTGCCTTTTTCCTTTAGGGTCAAATTCATTTTCCCGAAGTCTGATGCCAATATAATCTCCCCTTAAAAGCAAGAGAGCAGCACTGAACCATTGTGGGTAATGCAGCGATAGATAGAGGCTTTCCCCCCAACCCCTCCCTCCAAGGCCAAAATACAACAGAATTCCACGAAGACCTACCTGGTAGTTGAGTTACTATTCAATTTCTGTTGGCATAGTAACCTGCTATGCTTCAAGTTTAAAATACCTAAGCATAATTAACTTTTTCACTTTTGTCTAAAAGTCAAAATCATTGTTGGGACAGAATTTACAGGGTATCAGAAAAGCTACCAGAGAGCAGGTCAAATAGCTCAGTGGCTTAAAGTGCCTGCAGGCAGCGGGGGGTTGATCCCTGGGCCTACAGTGCCTGCCCAGGGCGCACTGAGACAGCCATTGAAACTGGGCATGGAGGTGCACACCTGTAATCCCAGCTCTTGGGAGGCTATAAAACAGGCGGATCACTATGAGCCTGATCTAGTAGTGAGACCCTGAATACCCTGTCGACCCTTCCCTAAAATATGCAAAAAAGAAAAAAAAGAAAGAAAGAAAAGCTACCAGATATCCACAGACAGAAAAGGTCTTTCGTTTTTGTTTTTATAAGATTAGGATTGTGACCTATTGTTTAAAATAAAGATTCCCTTGCTGGCTGTGCAAAGTCCGGGCAGAATGTCCAAAGCTGGTGCATCCCAGATGTATAAAATGCTATAGAGATGGGTTATTTACACTTAAGCCTTTTCCTCACTAGGATACTTACTCTTAGAAATTTTACCTAATCATTCATTAGCAATTCTATGTTAGTGTATTCTTATCAGATCCTTTTTTTTTTTTTTTTTTTTATCAGTGATTTGTAATAAGAGATGGTTGACTATGCATGAGGGGAGGAGGATAGAGAGATTCCACCCTGGGAAAGTTGGACTTGGGGGACTGAATGGACTGATCAGGGAAATGACTGTGAGTTTCTGAGGCTGATCGCTATAAATCTCACCACTTTATGAAAGCCCACTAGGACATTTTGGGCTGCTTACTATATGGAAGATAAGTTTGTTTTGGCCTTCTCAAAGCTTTCTTTTGAATAATTAATCTTTTCTAGATTCATAAAAATTCTTGGATTCTTGCTGTACATTCCAATATAATTTCAAGTAGCCTAAAAGTATTTTTTGGATACACAATTGTATGTACACCAGTTTTGCAATTCCAATTCTTTGCATGGGTTACGCAGAGGAGTTAGCATTCCTGACTATGGTCTGTTATTATTATAGTAGTACTCAGGCATGTACATGTTAACATGAATTCATACATGGTTTATCTTAGCATTTCTTAAAGACTTAATAAAAGATAAGTATCCTAGGCAGAGAGGAAACATTTGAGGGGATCTATGATAAATTCTTTGATGAAAGGGATATGATTTTTATTCCTATATTTTATATATGAAATAGAATGTAACTTTCCCTCTCTTTTGTAAGTTCTGTAATTTTTCATTAATGTTTGCTAAGTACATTTAAAAAAGCTACATGAAAGAAAAAACATTCAGAGGAAGCAGTGTTTTTTAAAAAAATTCAGATTTCAAAGGAAAGACGAATTACTGGGTCAAATATGCCAAGAGTAAAAAGCTATGGCTGTAATTTAAATGCTGGTCTTTGGGGCACCTTTCCAAGGACTCATAGGAGAGTCCAGCCCCTTGCAGCAGCTCATCCTGCCTACACTGGCAGACTGACTGGGCTCCATGCTTAGATTCTAGAATGGGGTGGCCTTGGACTGCATGCTGTTGGTAGAAACATCCTACTGAGACTCAGCATGCTGCACTGTACCATGTATGAGTCCTCTCTGGCAGGAGAAAGAGGCCAGATCACCCTCTGGCTTTCTTCTTTAGAGCAGGAGTACAGTTTTTCATGGTGTCTCCCCCACCTGCTAATACCCAGGCTATCTATGACAACGCACAAATGCCGAGGGTCATAAATGAAAGTTATTTTCAATCATACTCACAGCAGCTTTTTCATTTCCTTCTTTACAAGCCTTCTTTCCATGGTTAGAGGTTTATCCAGCTGAGCAGCTATCTGTAGTTCACACTGCACCTGTATACACACACACACACACACACACACACACACACACACACACAATTACTCTGGAGATCACTAATACCCAAATATAATGAAAGTGTTGGCAGTTTTTGTTCTGGGATGACAAGTTCCTGGCTGTTCATCAAATTACCTTTTGTACTTTTGAAATCATGACTTTTAAAATCACTACTCTAAATATCATTAGGAAGAAACTTTTGTTTGGATACACATAAACTGTAAGGTGTACTGGGGACAGCGTCCAATAGTAAGCAATGAGAAAGCGGGACATGGAGTTAAATAAATTCTCTGCTGGCTAACAGTTATTTCAAATCAGTCCAGCTGCTCATACAACTGCTTTAGCCTTTCAGGGATGGTAGGATGCAGAGAAGGCAAAGTGGCAGAAGACACCAGGGCAGCCCTGTGAAGGGTATGAGCTAGGAAAGCACCACCTTTTCTTCCTACTGGATAGTCAAGTGGGAGAAGTGCTGCAAGCCAGAGGTGGCCTTGTGGTCTAGAGAAGGGAGAGCCTGGGAAAGGAAGCCAGATGCCCGGATGTGGAGCCTACTCCACTACCACTTGACATGGCCATTCTTAAGCTTCTTGGCTCTTTGGTACCTCAGTCCCAGGCTTACCTGAACTCTGACAGGCCTGGTTAATATCACCGAAAACAAGGTCCACCTAAATGTCCTGTGACTCCACAAAGGCTGGCATGCATTTAAAGTCTTTTCATTAGATAATTTGGAGAAATATGTGTTCAGAGGATATTTGTCCTACCTCAATTCCGTGATAGGAAGTGAACTCACTTTGTTTTGAAGTCTGAAAGGCAGAAGATAGTATAATTCTGAGCAAATACTTTGAATTTTAGATTTATAAATTACAAAGTTTGCATGTCTTTGTTGCTGTCTTCCTCTTAGATGCTTCTGCCCCATTCAAGTGTCATAATGTATAAATGCTTAAATCTTGAAAATATGGGCATCTCTTACCCCCAAAACACAAGGCTGGGGGTCACAGTCCCTATGAGCCTGCCAAGTCGCTGTGTCATCTTGGACAGGTGAATTTGCTTCTCTGTTTTTGCATTTTTCCTCTGTGAAACAAGAGCTGCATGATTGGACTGGTTCCTTCTCATTGTGGAATGCAGTGATTTATATGCATTTAGCAGCTTTGCCTGGTTGAAAAAAGGCCACTTGCACAGACTATTCAGCTAGATTTTAACTTTGCCAGTCACTCTTTTTTTCTATCCAGACAGCTTTAAAGGAAACAAGACCACTCCTTGGAAACACATGCCGAAGAGGCATTGGGAAGATGTCAGCCACATCAGCTTTAGTTGTCTCATAGAAACCAAACCACCCGAAGTCACAGCACCCCCATTCTCCAGGAATGCCAGGCACGCGACAGTACATGTAGCCTCTTCACATCCCCCCCATGTACTTTCTGCTGTGCTCTATGAGGTGCCAGCTCTGTAGGAATTCCCCTTCAAGAATCTTACCAGCTGCAGGGCTTTCGTTCTTTCTGCTTCTGCAGGTGCTTGAGCATCAGTGCGGCTGGGGCCGGCGCTTGCAGAGATCAGGCGAACAGATGACTTTTCCTGGTTGCTAGGAAACTATGGCTGAATGAAAATGCTGTTTTTAACACCCCCCCCCATTCTGAAAGTAGGGGCAAGGAATCATATACCTGAGACAGGACTGTGATCCTGACCCAAAGTTTGCATATCTTTTTACCCGAGTGGGCTTAGGTGTCCATCTAAATGATTAATCGGAAACTGAGATGAAGCTAGGAGTCTGCATCACCAGGTTTTTTTCTTTAATAGCATTTGCCTGCAGACATAGGAGTCAACTGACTGAGCAAGGATTGCTAGGGAAGCCAGTTAAACCGATCCTGTAGACCTAGGGAGCCCTAGAGAAACACTCAGGGTGATCCTACTCTATAATCACGGACACACTGCAGTGAACAAAGCCATCAGCCCCCAGCTCTGGTGGAGCAGCCTCCCTCACATACTTGCCTTCTCAGCTCAAATGCTCACTCCCTTGCTGAAAGCTTACCAAGCTCCCCTGCCTCCCTGCCAAGATCTAAACCCCTTTATACCACTGGACAGGGGCCAAATTTGTTGCTGTTGTTGTTCTGTCTGGTATCAACAACTCTTAATCTGTATTTTTATTCCCCTTCACCATCCAAAGGTCTTGTTTATATAGAGGAGGAAAAATGACTTTTCCTAACCCATTGCTAAGCTCGCAGTTGAAGACCCTTTAACTATATGTTGACTAGCAAGAGAAAAGCATTCAAATGTAAGCTGTAGGTGACACAAAAGCCTTCATAGTAAGATGAAATCTCTTGAAGAAACAGGTTACTATATGCATGTGTACTTTTGATAGAGTGGACAGTCCTGAAATATGAATCCAAGGGGATATGATCTTGTGGTAATAAACTGGAAGAGACTTAACCAGGACCGATTGTTTAAGAGACTTGAGCAGGTTGTTCAAATACTTGTCTGTGTTTCTGCCCCTTTAATCCTTTCCTCTAGGTTAGTGAAGTTACCTCTCATAAGGGTCATAGGGCCTCCTTCCTGGGAAGGTTAGAAAATCCCACATCCCTCTAGGATTCATGGCTTGCCTCAGGGGAGAAGGGAGAAATGAATACGAGACTGATTCCTCTGCTTCTATTGCTTTCTCTGATGCCAGAGTACCAAGTTCATTTCTTCAGGAAGATTCCCTGTCATGTAAAATTCCATTAAACAAATTTGTGTGAGTCTCTTGTTTATCTTTTGTTAGCAAAGTCTCAGCCATGAACCTAGGATTGGTACAGAGAACCCAGTCTCTTCCCTTATAAACAGAAGGTAGTAATTTTAACATTATTTTTTTTTGGTGGGGGGGGGGCTGAATGGCATAAAGTAAACCAGCATAGTCCTTCGCAAAGTATGTTCTTAGCAAACTTCTTTGTCCACCCAAAGGACTAGCTATTCCAGCGTAGCAAGGTTAAGACAATGTTAACTCTAGGATTTAGGCACATCTGGGCACATCTTGACAAGGCTTGAGAGACAAAGTAGTGGGATTATTGAGATTATATTTGCACTAGTGTTTCCCAATGGTTGACTGTGCCATAGAACCAATTGCAGCAATTAAGAGTCTTCCCAGTGATGCTCATCAGGGGTAGCTGTGAGCCATCCATCTGTATTTTTAAAGTTTCTCCAGGGGCTCCAACATGTGAAAGAAATTGATAATCTCTGAGGCACGTGGAAGACTGAGTGATATCTTAGGGGGTCCTCTATTACTGTAATCGCACTAACCTTTAACTAGAAAGAACAATTTCTTCACCTCTAAAAATGACATGAACAAGGGATGGACCACTTCTTTTTTCTGGTCTTTGCCATACTAGATATGATGCCCAGCAGTGTAATAGCCAACCCCTTGCCAGTCTGAGAACAAAGCTACTATACAGATGAGGGCAGAATCAAAGCACTTCCATGTATGGGTAAAGCTAGTCCTAGTTGGAGTCTTATAACAGCATTAGCCAAGGATCATGCCTCTACATCCAGCCTTAAAATCATGTGAGGATCCTTGGTAGAAGGGGCTACAATAGCAGTGAATAAAAATAGTATTATTTTTCTGTGGTTGTTCAGTCAAAGCTATTGAGATGGGACAGTCTTGAAAGAAAGGCTTTATTGAGCCAAACCAGAAAAGAAGTAGTTGCTAGGACAACTTCTACAACTTCCAATAGCAAGGCTAGGTAACAGTTCTGAAGGACCTATAAGTCAAGAAACTTCTATAGTGAAATTTGGCAAAGGAAGGGCTAGGGAGATGGCTCAGTAGAATAAGCACTTGCTTGGAAAGCACAAGGGCCTGAGTTCAACCCCCGGTTCTGAAAAAGAAAAGAAAAATAAAGAAAAGAAAAGAAATTTGGCAAAGGAAGGAAGCTGTTTAGATTGAACCTGCCTTGGCTGTAGATGAGAGAGGCAAGACAACATGAAGCAGGGATAGGAGAGTCATCAAGGTGAAGTACTAGCCAGGCATGGTGGCATGTGACTCCAAGTACTAGCTGGGCATGGTGGCACATGACAATAAGCCCATCACTCTTGGAGGGTGAGGCAGGAGCCCAAATTCAAGCTCAGCCTGGGGAATTTAGTGATTTAGTGAGACTGTCTCAGAATAAAAATTGAAAAAGTGCCAGCCCTTCCCTGGGGCACACTGAGACAGACATTAAGGATGGGCGTGGTGGTGTGTGCCTGTAATCCCAGTGGTTGGGAGGCTGAAAACAGAAGGATCACTATAAGTTTGATCTGCGTAGTAAAAACCTATAGACCTTGTACTAAATATATTTTTTTAAAAATTGATAAAGGCCTGGGCTGTATCTCAGTGAGACCCCTGGGTTCAATTTCCAATATTGCCAAAAAGAAAAAAAGGGGGAAGTGGTACCTGGGAATCTACTCTTTGGGATTTTTTTTTTTTTTTTTCTTTTCTTTTCTGGTACCCAGAATCAAACTCAGGAATGCTTCTTGGGATTTGGAAGGTAATATTTTAGCATACAATCAGGAATGTGGAATTTGTTGTTGTTTGGCCCACAGCTTAACTGATTAGCTTCCCCTCCACTGTGCTCCACACCAAAATTAAATGTAGAGTATGCTGGGTTTTTTTTCTTATCATAATAGCAAGGGACAGGATGGTGGCAGTAATGGTACTGAAGGCTCTGCCATGGTGAGACAATGTCTCCAGCTATGGCAGCGCAAGATGACAGCATCCTGAATTTCTAACATCAGCAGCTTGGCATTGCACATCAGCAGCAGGTACGGTGCCGGCCAGGAGAGACCAGGGAGCATTGCAGCGCTCCTCTCTGGGCGGGCACCAGCTGCCCTCTTCCTTTGCTCACCCTTTAAGCTGAGATAGCAATAAGAGATAAAACCCAACTTACACACCAAGACAGTTCATAGGAAGGAGGCTAGAAAAGTCCCACAGACTCCAAAGGCAGGGACACAGGGACTGGGCTAATGGAACTAAGCCAAGTGTGTAGTATCACAGAGAATCGGCAGGTCCTCTACTCTTCTCTGGAAATCAGCTCTCTCTTTCTCTCTCCTTTTCTGTCGCCTCCTCTCCCTCCCTCTCCCTCTCCCTCTCCTACTCCTTCTGTTCCCCTCTGTCTCCATGCTTGACTTTTCTGTTTCCCAGTCCTCAACACAGAAAGTGACTGCTTGACAGCTACCAAGTCTGCATGCTACACACACACACACACACACACACACACACACACACACACA